CAAACTGCCTGTCCTCAAGGACGTCACTGCTAAGGGCGGGCTCACCCCCGACGGACGAAGGACAGACAGACTCAGACTCAGTAACAAGACTCGCGACGTAGTCGAGCCGACTCGTAGCAGTAAAGTCGACTAGCTCAGTGACTAGGGCAAACGCAGCATTAGACTCAAAGTCAGGGTCAGTGACGACAGTAGCGAGGAGACGAGTGACAGTAGGACTGGCAGCACGAGCAAGGTCTGACTCAGGGTCAGGAACGCCAGGAAGAGAGGACGCCAGAGAAGACGGCAGGGCAACACGCTGTGGAACAGAGGAAGGACGAAGTGCCTTAACGTGAGTGCCTGGGACAGCAGGAGGACGAGGACGGGCGACACGACGAGCACGAACAGGTGTGGAAGCACGAGTTTCAGGCTCACGATGCTCAGTCAGGGACTCAGTCACCTCAGTGTGAGGTGCAGGAGCAAGCAGCGGGGAGCCAGGCAGTAGCTGTGGCTGAGACTGGTCTGTCGGTGGACACAGGAGAGGTGGAGTGAGGCCAGTGGAAGACGGGAGACTAAGAACCTGGCGAAGGGCCGAGTCAGGCGGTGGCAGGGACGACTGCGGCTGCGGGTAGAAAAACGGTCGGCGCGGCGCTGCACTCGTACCGTCAGCAGCTCCAGTACCTCCAGTACCTTCAGCTCCAGCGCCTCCAGCATCAGCAGCACCAGCAGCACCAGCACCTCTAGCTCCGGCAGCTCCAGTACCTACAGCTCCAGCAGCACCTCCAGCACCAGCAGCACCAGCACCTCCAGTGCGAGCAGCTCCAGCACCCCCAGCACCTCCAGTAGCACCTCCAGCACCTCCAGCACCAGCAGCACCATCAGCTCCGGCAACTCCAGCACCTCTAGTACGAGCACCTCCAGGACCAGTACCTCCAGCTCCAGCGCCTCCAGCGCCAGCAGCACCTCCAGCACCTCCAGCACCAGCAGCACCAGCACCTCCAGTGCCAGCAGCTCCAGCACCCCCATCATCTCCAGTAGCACCTCCAGCACCTCCAGCACCAGCAACACCACCAGCTCCGGCAGCTCTAGCACCTCTAGTACGAGCACCTCCAGGACCAGCAGCTCCAGCACCTCCAGTACCTCCAGTACATCCAGCTCCAGCAGCACCAGCACCTCCAGCACCCCCAGTAGCAGCAGCTCGAGGAGCTGTAAAACTCCAAGCTCCAGCACCAGAGTGGCCTCGCCGAACAACCCACTCACGAAGCTGCTGCGGTGAGGGCGTCTCGAGTCGACTAGGCGGTTGCTGCTGTCCAACGCAAGGACCTGCAGCAGGAGCACCCACGGCCCCACTACCGGTAGGACTCGCAGCACCCCCAGAGTCAGCACCCCTAGAACTCTCACCCCCAGTCTCAGCACCCCCAAGACCAGCACCCCCAGGCTCAGCACCCCCAGTCCCAGCACCCCCAGGACCAGTACCTCCTGCGTCCTCACCCCCAGTGTCACCACCACAAGCAGCACCAGTGTCCACAGCTACAGGCTGCAGGGGTGGCGAAGACGGTCGAGGCGGAAAACCAGGAGGGGTCTCCAAGCGTGGAGAGCGACGAGTGGTTGCTGTGTCGTCAGCAGCGGGGTCACCCCCCTCAGCTGGGCCAGATGTGTCAGAGGAAATCACCAACGGCTCAACCAAGGGGGTGGGTTTACCTGAGACACACCTGAGGGAGCAGGACCCTGTGGGGGGAGGGGGTCTACCGGGGGGGGAACTGGTACCAGGAAGAGAGGCGCCAGGGGGACTGGGTGGGAAGCGTGCGGGTGGAGCATGTAGAAACAGACAGACTCGTCAAAGGTGACGTCATGGGAGGACAGGACTCGACGCGAGCAAGGGTGGTAAAACTGCCACGGCGGGGCGTCGGTGAGGAAGCCCAAGATGGCGCAGCGGAGAGTGCGAGGAGAGAGCTTGCTCGCGGTGGTATCGCGGACAAGGGAGAGCGCGCCCCAGACCCGAAACGCCGACGCATCGCCAACCTATCCCGTCCAACGGAGTGTGGGCGAGGTCTTTGGCAAAGAGACACGGGGTCGGAGGTTGACCTGATGCGTAGCGTATCGGACCGCAAACGGCAAAAAAAAATGGGGAGCAGCCACATGGATCATGGAGGTACAAGCGACCTCCATGATCAAGCCAATGCGACGCTCAGCAATCCCATTTTTCTGCGGAGAGGCCGGAAGCGTGAACGATTGGACGATGCCCTCGTCTCGACAGAACTCCGCAAGGAGGCCGGAAGAGAACTCACCGCTCCTGTCAGAGTGCAGACGCAGGACTGGAAGGTCTCGCTGGAACCGCTCGCGCAGCTGGTGACGAGTAGCGCGGATCCAAGGGATCAAAACACCGCGGACGTCCGCCTTGCTGCGCAAGGGGAAGACCGTGGTGTAGCGCGTGTAGTCGTCAACGACCACCAGGAAGTAGCGCTCCTGGTCCGTCCCACGGACGGGGGCCGGGCTCCACACGTCCATGTGGAGAGTCTGCAGAGGAGCAGTGGTCGGAGGAAACGAGGAGGAGTGAGGAGCAGCGCGCTGCTGCCCCTCGACGCAGGGAAGGCACGGTGGGGCAAGCGAGCGCGGGAGGGGGGGCATGGACCTGGGAAGGCCAGAGACAAGGAGACGGAAGTGCATGCTGCGGAGACGCGGCAGCGAGGGGTGACCGAGGCGGTGGTGCCAGAGGAGAGTCTAATGGGAGAGTACCCGACACGAGCACGACGCAGCGAACTGACCGGACGGCTGCCGAGTGAACGTAGCAAGGTGACGGCTAGTCCGGGAGCACGTACAGATCGCCACACGCATCCCTCCAGGAGTAAAGGTATCAACCCATACATCCTGAAGGACTGCGTTGCTCACCAAGTTCGTCGAGAACGAGGGGAGGTGGAGGCCTGAAAGAGAGCCGGAGGGGACTGCCGAACACGGGAGGACAGTGGAGGCTCGTGCGACGACGGGGCCCCCAGAGAGGTCAGCAAGTGAGACTGGGACCAGTGCAGCGAGTGGTTTGACTGTGGTGCAATCACGAAAGAAGCAACAAGACGCGTCAGAGTCAAGTGTGAAAGTGTGCAGGGCCTCAGCTAAGGCAGCAGACTCACTAGTGGCAGACTCACTAGCACCTGTGGCAGCAGTCTCACTGGCACCTAGAGCGACAGGAGACTCACTAGCACCTAGAGCAGCAGCAGCGACACTACTAGAGACGCGTCGCTGAGAAAACCACTCCCAAGGCTGTTGCGGCGAGGGGGTCTCCGGCTGACTCTGTTGCCGCTGCTGTCGAGTACCTCCAGGAACATATCCTCAACCACCAGGACGGCCTCGCTGAATAACCCACTCACGAAGCTGCTGCGGCGATAGAGTATCCGGTGAGGCAGCTGCTGTTGTCTACCGACAGACGCTGCTACGGCCGTGATAGTGGCCATGTCAGATAGTTGCAGTCAGTAGCAGCGGCGCAAGGACGTCATAAGCGACTGCTGTAGCTGCAGCTGTAGCAGTAGCGGTAGTCGCTGTAGTGGATGCAAGGCAATGTAGCACGCGGGCTGCAGGGCGTGCGGGCAGCAGGGCAGGGGAGTGCGGCGCGCGGGCTGCAGGGCAGGGCAGCGTGCAAGCTGCAGGGCAGGGCAGCGCGCGAGCTGCAGGGCAGGGCGGCGCGCGGGCTGCAGGGCAGGGCAGCACGCGGGCTGCAGGGCAGGGCGGCGCGCGGGCTGCAGGGCAGGGCGGCGCGCGGGCTGCAGGGCAGGGCGGCGCGCAGGCTGCAGGGCAGGGCGGCACGCGGGCTGCAGCGCAGGGCGGCGCGCGGGCTGCAGGGCAGGGCGGCGCGCTGGCTGCAGGGCAGGGCGACGCGCGGGCAGCAGGGCAGGGCGACGCGCGGGCTGCAAGGCAGGGCGACACGCGGGCTGCAGGGGAGGGCGGCGCGTGGGCTGCAGGGCAGGGCGACGCGCGGGCAGCAGGGCAGGACGGCGCGCGGGCTGCAGGGCAAGGCGACGCGCGGGCTGCAGGGCAGGGCGGCGTGCGGGCTGCAGGGCAGGGCAGCAAGCGGGCAGAGCGCAGGGCAGGGCAGCGCGCAACAAGGAGGGCACCGCACATAAGCAAACTCCACCACCAGGCAAACGCAGGATTGATGCACTCTAGTGTAATTCGATAGGGAGGGGGAAGGAGGGGCAGGGAAGGGGTAGTTAGGAGGTGGGAGCGGGGGGTTCTAAGTATTGAAATCAACACTTAGATATAGGGGAAGGGCCATATCGAGCCCTTAACGACTCCGGGAAAGCGCCAAAAGAAACCCCGAACCGTCACGGGTGCCCCGCTAATAAAACAATTTAAACGGTCGAGCTGCTCTGAACGCAACCCGGTTTGTTAAAGCTGCGGTCTACATACCTCGAGGGACAGGCCTTGGTTTATCACTTGAAAACAGGGTAGCAGACTCTCCAGAAGAAACGAACGATCTAGGCGGAAGGAGGGAGCGGGGTGGGCGCAAAACTTTATGCTTGGTTGTTTGTGTTTGGCGCTGAAATTTCCGCCTTTCCGCGGATTTGTTCCCCCAAGAAAACCCAATCGCGAAATTGTTTCACATCGCCAACTTTGTGCGAACTCATCGCACAGGTGTTTGGGGGAAAACCACACTTCGCTCTCAAGTCATCGCGCACTAAAGGGTGTGCACCTAGATTACCCCCCAAAACCCCCTTTTAGTATGTAGACCGCAGCTTTAAGGGCATTAAGGGCAAATGCCATTGCTTCATAGCCCTGGTTGTGACTCGTAGTCCCAGACCGGATCGCGGTTCGAGCGTTTTTGCCCAAACCGATCACTCATCGGAGGTGCTACATATATTTACTGTAGCAACTTTATTTGCTGAAGGCGTTTTGGTAACCCGGATTACCGACCCCCAGCGATCAGAGAGACGTTCAATCGTGTACTTGTAACGCGTCCTAAGAAACGGTCTGCACAGATTGTTCAGTCATCTGCGTCAGTCAGGACTCACCCAGCTGATTGATGAGTCGGGTAAATGTTTTCCGCTTCCAGCTTCTACGCCGTTTCAGATCAAGCATCATCGAGTCGAGCGAGAGACGACACGCCGTTTCAAACCCCTGCGGCTGGACGGCAGCATGCCGGCTCGCGGGCTTCTCTGGTCATTGGTCCTCGTTCTCCGTAAGCCAATGCTGCGTGTGATGATGCGTTTTTTGGTAGACGAGTCAAAAATCTCTGTCCGTTGCTCCTCGTTCTCCGTAGGCCAATGCTGCTGATTCCCTTCCTCTTGGACAGACTTTCGGGATCAACGCATTTCCCTCTAAATCGAATCCAGCATTCCCAGCATACTATTTTCTTTAAATTTCTGAGTCTATTTTCCGCTCTAGTGCCGCAGTGCGCTCGTTCGTCTCTCCTTCCCAAGCACGGACCCAAGCACTGTCCCACCACGTGTGTGTTTTGCGGAACCCACGTGGCTCGACGGCTCAAAGCCCACGTGGAGTGGAGCCCCACGCCTGCTTCAATTCGCGCCGCGAGTTTCCATTCTGCTCGCGTCTCCTCTTTAATCTCCCACTCTTCTCCCTTCTCCCCGCTCCCCTCCTCGCGTCTCCCCTCTCCCCTACTCTCGTCTCCTTGCTTCCTCCCTTCCCGCTTCAGCTCTCCTCAGCACGACCCCATCCCCTCCTGCATGCATCTGCATCTTGCTTCTCCTCCTTCCATTCCTCTTCCATTTCCCCCGTTCTCTCCTCCCCTCCTCCCACTTTCTCCCACCCCACCCTCCACCCACCCCTCAGCACGTGCCCAATATAATTCGACTCAATTAAAGTTTAGGATGTTCCCCCAACCCTTCTTTCCCCCCTCCCCCCCACCCCCCCCCCATTCTCCTCATCCCTTTTCTCCCCCTGCCATTCCCCCCATCCCTTTCCCCTCCCCCCGCATTCTCCCCATCCCTTTTTTCTCCCCGCCATTCCCCCCATCCCTCATTCTCCCAATCCATTCACCCCATCCACTCTTGCCCCCCCTCCCTTCCCCAACCCCAACTTCACATCCCCCTCCTTCCTTCTCACTTCCAGGCGTCCCTTTCACTCCTCCTGTCAGCACAAGCCAAACAAGAGTCTCTCCTCTCAGCCCCAACTCCCCCAGCCCCGCTTGTCCCTGCCATCCCTTCTTTTCCCCTTTCCGCCCAATCCCCCTGGTCCGCCCATCCCCTCTTCCCCTCGTCCCTGTCAGTCCTCCTGTCAGCACAAGCCCAAGGGGAGTCTCTCCTCTCAGCCCCAACTCCCCCAGCCCCCTCTGCCCCCCTCACTCTCCTTCCCCTACCCTTCTCTTGCCTTCCTCCCCTCCGACCCTTCCAGTGCTCCTGCCAGCGCAAGCCCAACACGAGTCTCTCACCCAATCGCAACTGCTGCAGCAGCGGGAGCAGGAGATTTTTGGGGCAGGGGGGGCAGGGAATGGTGCAGAGGCAGGTGCTTCAGGGCCAGGGGAAGTTACCCTGGAAAATGACGAGATGCTGCTGGGAAGGGTTTCGGAGATGGAAAGGGAGCTGAGGAAGCAGTTGGCTGAGCAAGAGCGAGCAGGGGGGCAGTTAACAGGGTTACCACAGTCTACAGGGGTACTAGAGTCTACAGAGTTGCCGAAGTCAACAGGGTTACAAGAATCACCAGAATTACCAACAGGGTTACCAAACGTTGTAACAGGGTTACCACAGGCATCAGGGTTACAGCAATCATTGGAATCAATAGCAACAGGAACCAGTGATATTAAGCAGGAATCTGTATTGATCCAAGGATCCGTCGGTGGGCCATCTGCCACGTCATCTGACAGCACAGCACCTGCCACGTCAGCTGCCAGCTCAGCGGGCGGAAATGCGGCGGCGTCTGACATACAATCATTGGAGCAGGAGGCAAAGCAGCTGGCTGCTGACGTGGCACAGCAGAAGGTGGACAGACAAGTGTGAGTATAACGAGAGTGTTTCCATTTTTCCAGTTGTGTGTGAGGAGGTTAGTGGAGGTTGGGAGGAACAAGATATGGACCTGGGGAACTAACTCTCAGCAGCAGTATAGGGTGGAGAGACTAGTGTGTTTGTGTGAGCCTGGCTGGCTGAGGGTTTCGGGTTTAGGGTTTTTGTTTAGGGTTCCTGTTACACGTGTGGTTTTCACTTCACATGCTGATTCTCTCACTCACTTGAACAGTGCCGTTTATTCCCCCCAGAAGACTTTTGACTCGACTCAAAAGTCGCCCCAGAAGTCAAAATGCGTTCCTATGACGCGTCTTTTTCACTTGACATACTGACTCTCTCACCCACCTCAACAGTGCCCTGTATTCCCCCCAGAAGTCACGACGCCCTCCTGTGTCTCCCGCATTGATTTCCTTTGCATGTGCTCCCTGTCCCATGTGCCCTGCTGCAGGGCTCAGCAGCGCGCACAGCAGCTGCTGCAGCGACTCACAGAGGCCGAGGCGAAGCTGACTGAGGGGGACAATCAGTTGCTCCTGTTGCTGCTGCTGCCCCTTGCATGTGCACTGCACTCACGCCTTATCTGCAAAACCATGTCTTGTTTGTGCCTTCCTGCCACCCCCGTGGTGCGTGCAGGGCCCAGCAGCGCGCACAGCAGCTGCTGCAACGACTCACAGAGGCAGAGGCACGGCTGAGGGGACAATCTGCCGCACCTGCCAGCACCGACATTTTCAGCAGCAGCAGCACCATTACCACCACCACAAGCACCAGCACTGGCACTGACAGCACCAGCAGCAGCAGTCCCACCCTCCCCACCAGCACCAGCACCAGCACCAGCACCAGCACCAGCAGCAGCACCAGCGGCACCAGCAGCAGCAGCAGCAGCAGCAGCTCCCTTGAATCTCTAGGCCTAGACCCCATGGGCTCCCTTCAACAGGAAGCCCTCTCCTCTCCCGCCTCCCTCCCCTCCCCTCTCTCCCGCTCCTCTATGTCAGAGCTTCATCTCAACATCGGTGCCCTCTATTCCCCCCATCTAGATTCCCTCAACTGCTCCAACGCCCCCACCTGCCCGGATTTCTCGGGCAGGTGCTCGGTCAACCCGGAAATTTCTGCGTGTTCCAACCCCGGGCAGGAGGACGACGGGAAGCAGTGGCTTCGGGCACCGGAAAACTGCCCGAAGGTGAAGAACGTGGTGGAGAGCGGTGTGGAGGGGTTTGATGCAAGATGCAGCCATGAATCTGACTTTGCATGGCACAAGTGGATGGTGTTTCAGACCTTCCTGCTGCGGGGGGTCTATGTGAGCGCGGAGGGGCAGGTTTTTAACGAGTCGACGCACTTTGCTCGCAAGGGATGCGGCCATTTCTCCGAGGTTAGTTCTGGCTTGTGGACTTACAGCTGGCACTTGGGTTGGGCTTACAGTGAATGGGTGGGGGGCTTTTTCTGGCTTTGGTTTTGCGCTTTGCAAGGGATGTGGCCGTTTTGACGACGTGATCGCTCTGATGTGAGGTGGCGCTCAGAGAGTAGAAAATTTGAGAATTCTTACAGGTGACAGTTTTTAGGCACCTAAAAAACTGTCGCAGGAACCATTTTTTTTTTGTTTGAAATAAGAAATAATAATAATAATAAAAAAACCTTAGTTTTATCTTTTGTTTGAAGTGATCCCATTTCGCGTTTGTGAGCAGTCTGATCTGAGAGTTGCTCCACTGTGATTTCTGAGTTGATTTAAAATCACCTGAGTGTTCTGATGTGAAAGGTGCTCCTCCATTATTTTTTAGACGGCTCAAGCCTGGGCATTCTCAGGTGCAAGCAAGGTCCCTTAACTCTCTCATGTTCCACAGTCAGTAGCAGTTGGTTCAAGCAAGCTCCCTCAACTTCCCCTCCCTTTTCGCCCCTCCCTCCTCCCGTCGTTTTCTACTCTTTGCCTCCCTCCTTCCCCCCCCCCCCTCCCTCCTCCCTCTTCCTCCCTCCCGTCCGTCCTCCTCCTCCCTACTCCCTACCCCTTCTTCTCCTCCCCCCACCAGTTCTCATACCCTCAGTCCACCAGTGTGGCACATGCACAGGACGCTCTCCTTCGTGTACCCACAAGCCACCAGCTACTTGAAAGTTCTTACTTGTCGCCCTTACGCCCCTCTCCACCCCTGCCCTCCCCCCACCAGTTCTCCTACCCCCAATCTACGCCAGTGCGCCACATGCACCGAGCTCTCTCCCTCGTGTACCCGCAAGCTACGGGGTTCTATCACGGGCTGATAGAGTGGCTGCCTCAATTTCTCCTGCTCGCTCCGCTGCTGCAGAAGCTGCCAAACATTGCAGTGCTTGGTACACCTGAACAGGTACGCTTCATATGGGGGTGGAATGTGGTGGAGTGCGGTGCTCGCTCTCTTCGTCGTATACCCGCAACGCAAGCCACGGGGTTCTATCATGGGCTGATAGAGTGGCTGCCACAGTTCCTGCTGCTCGCCCCCTTGCTGCAGAAGCTGCCAAACATAGCAGTGCTTGGCACACCCAAACAGGTACGGTCAATCAGAAGGTAGCTTCATATGGGGGTGGAGTGTGGTGGAGTGCGGTACTCACTCTCTCCCTCGTGTACCCACAAGCCACGGGGTTCTATCACAGGCTGATAGAGTGGCTGCCGCAGTTCCTGCTACTCGCCCCCTTGCTGCAGAAGCTGCCAAACATAACAGTCCTTGGCACACCCGAACAGGTCAGTCAGGGCATAGGTCGAGTGCGGTGAAGTGCGGTGCTCGTGCTCTCCCATGTGCCACGGGTTCTATCACAGGCTCATAGAGTGGCTGCCAAAGTTCCTGCTGCTCGTTCCCGTGCTGCTCGTTCCCTTGCTGCAGAAACTACCAAACATAGCAGTCCTGAGCACACCTGAACAGGTTCTTGATGAGTGAGTGGGATGCAGTGCGGTGCAGCGCAGTGACGTGCGGTGCTTTCTGGTTCTGTCACGTCCTCATGGAGTGGCCAAAGATAGCAGTCCTTGGCTGGTGCTTGTGAGAATGGTCCAGTGCAGTGAAGTGCGGTACTTGGGAGTAATGCAGACCAGTACTGCACTGCACTCCTTGGATTGCTGTGCTGTGATGGCTCCATGGTCCTTTTTCAAAGTTCTCAAAAACTTACAGCCACCCCACGCCAACCCACACCAACCCACGCCACCCCCAAGCCACCCCCAAGCCACCGCCAAGCCACCACCAAGCCACCCCCAAGCCACCGCCAAGCCACCGCCAAGCCACCCCCAAGCCGCCGCCAATCCACCCCCAAGCGACCCCCAAGCCACCCACAATCTAATGCCTCAGGCATCACTTCCTATTGTCCTCCTCGCTCCCGTCCTTCTTTAGTCAACTCTAAAGTCACCCTTCCACCCCCTCTGAACACCGACGCAACCTTGTCCTCCTGACGTCTCTCTTTCTCCTACTGCACCTTTTCCGCCTACGCTCCCTTTATCCACACTCCCTCCATCCACACTTCCTCCATCCACACTCCCTCTTTCCGCACTGTGTCTCCCAGTGGGCATTCTACGACCGAGTCCTCAAGCCACTGGTGGGGGTGGAGCTAGCACAGATTAATCGAGTAGAGGTCCAACCCAACGAGCTCATCCTAGTCGACCAACTGTTCATGGTACAGCCATCTCTGTCAATTTTCATATATATTTATAAATAGACGTTTATATATCCATATTTATATCTATAGTTATATTATATTTATATTTATGCTAATATTTAGATATTACACACATACACGCGTCTACATATGTTATGTAGACACATCCATACATGCCTGTCTGTATGTATATATAGCAACAAACATTTGTTTACAATTCGGTTGTCTTGCATGCGCACTTATGTTCTCTACTCCCCATCCAGATTGTCTTCCTTCGATGAATGTGTGCTTTGTGTGTTTAATCATTAACTGCTTCATATATTCTAACTTATTTGTACATTTACTTTGTGCCATCGTCTGTCCCCCTCACAAGCAGCCTCTCTACCAGTGTTGCGGCAAGCCTTCCCCAGCCATCTGGCAAGACATGAGGCTGCGAGCCCTGCTCCCTCAACAGGGCATCCCCTTTTTCCACAAGCATGGCTGGCAACCCCGAGGGATCCAGCCAATCACGGAGAAGCAGGCGGCAGCTGTGCTGCGCTCTGATTGGCTCGTCGTTGTCGCGCGCCGCCCGGGCAGCCGAAGAGTCTTGGACAAGTTTGAGGAGCTTTTGGAGGAGGTGAAGAGAGTTTTCGGGCAGGAGAAGGTTCGGACCTTCAACGGTTCTCTGCCGATTCTTGAAGGTGAGAAACGACGATGATTGATTGGTTGTAGATTACCTCGTTCTGGTGGTGTATAATGGTGAGAAAAAACTCAGGCATGGCAAACTCAGGTATGATGGTGACGATGGCACAGAGGCTGTGTGCTCTTGCTCTCTCCCCCTCTCCCTCTCTTCCCGCCCTCTCTCTCTCTTCCCCCTTTTCCTGCCTTCGCTATCTCCTCCTGTTTCCGCTAGGTGCTTCTGTGCCTGACGATTTTGACTCCCTTCCCCTGTCCGTGCAACCACCATGCCCACAGAGCGCGGTCTCTCTTCCTGCAAGCTCGTCTCTTCATAGCCGGGCACGGGGCAGCGCTAGCAAACATGGTCTTCATGCCGCTCGGTGCTTCTGTGCTGGAGATTCTAACTTCCTTCCCTCTGCCCTTGCAATCACCATGCCCACAGAGCGCGGTCTCTCTTCCTGCAAGCGCGTCTCTTCATAGCCGGGCACGGGGTGGGGCTAGCAAACATGGTTTTCACTCATGCTGCTTGCTGCTGCAGTGCCTGAAATACCAATCTCCTTTCCTTGTCCTTCTGATCACCATTTCGACACAGCGCGGTCTCTCTTCCTGCAAGCACGTCTCTTCATAGCCGGGCACGGGGCGGCGCTAGCAAACATGGTCTTCATGCCGCTCGGTGCTACAGTGCTGGAGATTCGACCAGATCGTTACGACAATGCGTGTTACCACTTCCTTGCAAGTGCGTGTGGGTTACGGTACAATCTAGTGTTGGGTCAAGGGGACCAAGACAGCGAAAATAAGGTTGATCTGGGTCAGGTTACAAATGCTTTAGTGAGCATACGCAGCGGATTTGGTGCCGTGCAATGATTGGCATGCGCTGCATTTCACAAATCATGTCACATGCATTTCAGTGTTCGCACGATATGGGATAATGGGATTCAGTTTGGTGTTACACCTTCATTTATGATATTCTGTATAGATTTAATAAAAGGGCCTTGAGCCTTCTGGCGCCACTGGACTGGACAGGAAGCCAGTGTTCACGAAGTGTTAGTAAGTACCTAGATACGAGGTGAAAATGGATGACCAACAGGAGTGTGCTGATTCTTTGGTAGGACAAGCTGAGTGCTTGTTAGGCGATCAAGCATAGCTAATAACTGTCTTGAGTCGTCGTGACTGTCTTTTATGTTACAGCGAAAACTCTGAAAATGGCTTTGTTGGTGGGGTGGGGTGTGGCGTTGGGTGGAAGGGAGGAGGGAAGCTATTTGTTACGCACAGTTTCCCGTTGAGGTCCAAAAGTTCTCTAGAGAGTTTTCTGTCAAGACGCACCCTCGCCGGTAGGCACAGGCAAACGCACTGCCTCGATCCAGTGGTTGAATTCAAACCTCAAGTACACGGGATGCGGTCCAATTGTATGTAAAATGTAACGCCATCTTGGCATAGCAGACCCAGGAGGACTTCTGTTTCGAAACCAGGAAATTCCTGAACTGTTTTGTTTCTGCTACACCTCTGCCACGGAAAACAACTACTGAGAACCTGGTGAACTTGGTGCTGAGAATGTCGGTGACAATCCTGAACTGTGTGAGAGTTGCTTTTTCGGGGTAGTCTGTTCGATGTAGTTCGGTTTGTCTCGTTCCCAAGCGGTACAGCAGCTTCACACAAGTGATGTTTGTGAATGGTTGGTTTCTGGTTCATTCATCAGTTTGGCTTCTGACCGCTGCTCCATCGTTCGTAAGCCTGCCATATGAGGAGAGATTCTATGTATAGTAGTGATAGCACAAACAGCCAATGCAGATCGAGGAACCTAGTGACTCCTTGCTTGTCGTCGAGTCGCGGATTATGCTGACAGCACTGATGATCCCTCCTTAGGCTATTTAGCTATCTTATGGGTTCTGCGGGCTCGCGTTCGGCTGACAAATCGTGGAATCTACTGAGACCAAAGAGTGCGTCCGCGTTACTAGGCGTCTTGACACACGTGACGAGCTATCGACGGCAATTTTGTGAAAACAGGAAATCTGTATAAAATCGGAAAGTCGGACCATTCTCAAATCGAAATGCAACACCCCATTGCTCTCCCATCGCAATCGCTTCATCCCCTGCCATCCCTTCCTGTCTCCTCCTCCCATCCCTTCTCCTACCCGTCTCGCTCGCTCCCCCCACTCTCCACCGCCAGTCCCCTCCAGGCATTCCGATTTCAAATCTTCCTGCAAATCCCAAGCCCCGTTCTCGTCGTCCCTCACTCACGATCCCCTCGCATCCCTTCCTCTCTCCTCCCCTTCACACTCTCCCCCCGCCGCCAGTCCCCTCCAGGCACTCCGATTCCAAACCTCATTCCCGGCCCCTTAATCGCCGTCCGTCCCTCACGATCCCTTCCTCGGACGACTCATTTCCGCCAAGACCATCAGCCGGAGGACGCGCAGGAGGAGGATACGGCGCAGGATACGGCGGAGGATACGGCGGCGCCAGTCTAGGCGAAAATGGTTACCCAGGCAACAACGACGACAATGTTCGCCAGGACGCGAATCTGCCCAACCCCGTGGACTTTTCGTACAAGGAGCTCGAAACGGCTACAGATGGGTTCAGTGCGGTGAACTTGCTGGGCGAGGGCGGGTACGGGAAGGTGTACCGCGGGGTGATTCGCGAGGAGGCGCCAGATGGCAGCACGGTGGAGCGCCACGTGGCAGTGAAGCAGCTGAATGACGAGGGCCGGCAGGGATTCAACGAATGGCTGGTAAGGGCTGCGGGAGGTGGGGTCACAACTGGCTGTCTGATTAGGTAGCATGGGATTAATTAGGTAGGGCATGGGTGGTAGGCGTAGACAAGTTTATCAACTCGTTCCCGATTCCTCCATCCTTTTTCCCCCTTCTTTCCCGCCTTTCTCCCCTTTCCATGCCCTCCCCGTTCACCCGTCCCGTCACTCCCCTCCCCACCCTCCCCCTGTCTCCTCCCAACCTCGTCAGATGGAGCTGGTGTTTCTGCGTCGCCTGCACCACCCCCACCCCAACCCGGTGCAGTTCCTTCGTGGGGTACTGTGCGTGCCAACCAGGATCAGCTCTGTTCGCCCCAACCCCCCACCCCCTTCCCCCTTTTTCCCCTCCTCCTTCCCCCCCCTCCCTCTCCCCACCTCATCAGACGGAGGTGGTGTTTCTGCGGCGCCTGCGCCACCCCCACCTGGTGCAGTTCGTGGGGTACTGTGCGCAGTCAACTCTGCACCACCCCACTATTCTCCCGTTCCCTCGTCCCCCCCTACCCCCCTCCCCACTTCTTCAGACGGAGGTGGTGTTTCTGCGGCGACTGCGCCACCCCCATCTGGTGCAGTTCGTGGGGTACTATGCAGAGCAGGCAACTCTCCACCAAACCAATTTCTCCTTCCTCTTCCCTCCCCACCTCCCCCCTCCTGCTCTATTAAAAACATCAGACGGAGGTGGTGTTTCTGCGTCGCCTGCGCCACCCCCATCTGGTGCAGTTCGTGGGGTACTGCACGGAGCAACAGCAGGCGCTGCTCGTGTACGAGCTCATGGCCAATGCGTCGCTGGATTACCACCTCTTTGACGGTCAGTCCCTCCCTCTCTGTAATGCGTTCTCTTTGACCGTCAGTCACACCCATCTGGTGCAATCTGTGGGGTACTGCACGGAGCAGCAGCAGGCCCTGCCGGTGAACGAGCTCATGGCAAAACCCTAAACTCGAAACCCTGGATTACCACCTGTTCGACGGTCGGCCCCTCTCTGTTTGCATTCGCGTGGATGTATGCATGTGGCTGTGGGGGGTGGTGGGGTACTGCACGGAGCAGCAGCAGGCACTGCTTGTGTACGAGCTCATGGCAAACGCATAGCTGGATTACCACCTGTTCGACGGTCAGTTTCTGATTGTATGCGTGCATATATGTGCATGCAGCTGTATGTGTATGTATGCTGTGTATGTGCTGGGACTCATGTGTCTGTATGCATGTGTCTGTTTGTATGTGGTTGTATCTACTCCCCATCCCCACTCCCCATTCATCCCCCTACCCTCGCCCGAAGCCCCACCCCCCTGTCACCTCTCCCCACTCCCCTCTCCCCTCACCCACTCCCTCTTCCCCGCTCTCTACTCCCCCCTCCCCTCTCCCCACCCTCCCTCCCCTCCCCCCCCTTTGCCAGACACCCGCCCTTCTCTCACATGACAACAACGGGTTAGTGTGGCTCTGGGTGCTGCCAAGGGGCTTCCTACTCTCCCCTCTCCCCACTGCCCCCGGTACCATCTTCCCGTGCGTCACGCCCTCCCCTCCCCCCCCTTTGCCAGACACCCGCCCCTCTCTCACATGACAACAGCGGGTTAGTGTGGCTCTGGGTGCTGCCAAGGGGCTTCCTACTCTCCCCTCTCCCCACTGCCCCCGGTACCATCTTCCCGTGCGTCACGCCCTCCCCTCCCCCCCCTTTGCCAGACACCCGCCCCTCTCTCATGTGGCAACAACGGGTTAATGCGGCTCTGAGCTTCCCACTCTCCCCTCTCCCCGCTGCCCCGCTGCCCCCACTACCATCCCCCCCTGCGCCACGCCCTCCCATCCCCCCTTGCCAGACACCCACCCCCCTCTCACATGACAGCTCTGGGTGCTGCCAAGGAGCTGCAGGGTGTTTTTGAGAATTCTCAAAAACACTCTGGGTGCTGCCAAGGAGCTGGCGTACCTGCAAGAAAGGTTGCTGACTTTACTCCCCCCTCCACGCCCCTCTCACCCCACCTTCCCCCCCCCCACCACCACCCCTACCCTCCCCCCACTCCCCCCTCCCCCCTGCCAGACACCCGCCCTCCTCTCACGTGGCAGCAGCGGGTCAACGTGGCTCTGGGTGCCGCCAAGGGGCTGGCATACCTGCATGAGGGCACGGAGCGGCAGGTGATCTTCAGAGACCTCAAGGCGGCGAATATTTTGCTGGATGAGGTGAGGTAGGGGGGGATGTGTGCCACGTCTGTGCGTTGTGGGCTGGAGCTGGGTCAACCCAGGAGACAAGAGGCTAAAGGGGATGACATACCTGCATGAGGGGACTTTTGAGTCGACTCAAAAGTCACCTCGGTTTGAGTCGACTCAAAAGTCACCTCGTTGTGGGCTGGAGCTGGGTCAACCCCCGAGACAAGTGGCTGAAGGGGAGGACATACCTGCATGAGGGCACGGAGTGGTAGGTGGTCTTTAGAGGTTTCAAGTCGGCGAATATTTTGATCGGTGAGGTGAGGGCGGAGGGGTGTGTGTACGTGTGAAAGAGCAGCCAGCCAAGGGCAGGAGCGGTGAAAGAGCTGGCGTGTTGTGGCTTGGAAGCAGCCAGCCAAGAGCACTTCAATGCGAAGCTGTCAAACTTCGGATCGGCCAAGGCCGGACCTGCTGAGGCCTCACATAGTTTTAAACCCCCCCTCACCACGCCCCACCCTATCCCACCACACCCCACCACATCCCACCACTCTCAATCTTTTCCTGACAGAACTTCAATGCGAAGCTGTCAGACTTTGGATTGGCTAAGGACGGGCCGGCAGGGGAGAACACGCACGTGTCGACGATGGTGGTCGGTACCTATGGGTACACCGCTCCTGAGTACTTGCAGACTGGTACGATGCGGTAAAGAGCGGTAATGAGTGATGCTGTAACAGTGCAGAGCGGTGTAGATTTTTAAGGGCCGGCAGGAAAGAACACTCATGTGTCCACCATGGTTATTGGCACCTATGGCTACACCGCCCCTGAATACTTGCAGACTGGTACCATGCGGTTCAAAGTGGTAAGGAGTGGCGCAGTGTAGTGCAGGAGAGCCACTGTGGCAGTGCTGATTGGTGGAGTGTAATACAAATTGGTACAAACAGGTATGGGTTGGTGGAAAAGGAGCATTGAGCTTGTGGGTTCGTGGCTGCAAGGGAAACATCACCAATGCCCTTCCCTCCCGCCCTTGCTCCACTCCACCACCACCACCACCACCACCGCCGCCGCCACCCCCCCCACCGCCACCATCGATAAAATACCATATCTCGCGTTTTCCCTTGCCCCACTGCACCTTCACCAGGCCACCTGACAGCAAAGAGCGATGTGCACGCTTTTGGAGTCGTTCTTCTCAAGTTGCTGTCCGGCCGCAGAGCCGTGGACATAGACCGGCCAGGCGACGAGAAGAACCTTGTCTTTTGGGCCAAGCCGTTCCTGGCGGTCAGGAGGATAATTATTCTTGAGGTGCCTCACAAGCCGTTTCTGGTGGACAGGAAGAGGATCAATCAGCTGTTTCCCCTTGCCCCCCACTGCACCACCTTCCTTCACCAGGCCACCTGACAGCAAAAAATGACGTGTATGCCTTTGGAGTTGTCCTCCTGGAGTTGCTGTCCGGCCGCAGAGCCGTGGACATAGACTGGCCAGGCGACGAGAAGAACCTTGTCTTTTGGGCCAAGCCATTCCTGGCGGACAGGAAGAGGATCAGTGAGATCGTGGATCCGAGGCTGGAAGGGAAACATCACCATTTCTACTTCCCTCCTGCCCTCCCTCCCTTGCCACACTGCACCTTCACCAGGCCACCTGACAGCAAAGAGCGATGTATACGCGTTTTGAGTCGTGCTTCTAGAGCTGCTGTCGGGGCGAAGAGCCGTGGACATAGACCGGCCAGGCGACGAGAAGAACCTTGTCTTTTGGGCCAAACTGTTCCTGGCGGACAGGAAGAGGATCAGTGAGATCGTGGATCCGAGGCTGGAAGGGCGGTTCTCACACAAGAGAGCTCCCTCCCTGCACCTCCTTCCTCCCTGCACATCTTCCCTCCCTCCCTTGCTCCACTGCACCACCCCAACCAGGCCACCTGACAGCAAAGAGCGATGTGTATGCGTTCGGCGTCGTGCTTCTAGAGCTGCTGTCCGGGCGAAGAGCCGTGGACATAGACCGACCGGGCGACGAGAAGAACCTCGTCTTTTGGGCCAAACCATTCCTGGCGGACAGGAAGCGGATCGGTGAGATTGTGGATCCGAGGCTGGAAGGGCGGTTCTCACACAAGAGAGCTCCCTCCCTGCACCTCCTTCCTCCCTGCACATCTTCCCTCCCTCCCTTGCTCCACTGCACCACCCCAACCAGGCCACCTGACAGCAAAGAGCGATGTGTATGCGTTCGGCGTCGTGCTTCTAGAGCTGCTGTCCGGGCGAAGAGCCGTGGACATAGACCGACCGGGCGACGAGAAGAACCTCGTCTTTTGGGCCAAACCATTCCTGGCGGACAGGAAGCGGATCGGTGAGATCGTGGATCCGAGGCTGGAAGGGCGGTTCTCACACAAGGGAGCTCTCAAGCTCGCTGTTGCTGCGCACTGCTGCCTGCAGGACGCGAAATCTCGGCCGTCGATGGCCGACATGGTGCAGACTTTGACGGCTCTGATGGAGATGGGCGAGGGTGGGGGTGGTGGCAGTGGTCGTGGTGGTGAGACACCCAGAACACCCAGAACACCGAGAACACCCAAAACAGCAAAAACACCAAAAACGTTGAAAACAACGGATACACTGAACCCACTGGGCAGTGCAGGTGGTGACGCTGACACACCTGCTGCATCCCGAACACCCTCTGCTGTCAGTGGTGATGGTGCCAAAAGCACAAGAACTCATACAAGTGTGGGTGGTGATGCTGGTGGTGGTGACGCTGGTACTTATACAGTCGGTGGGAGCGATGGTGGTTCTTCCGGTGCTGCTGCAGCTGCTGCTGATGGTGGCCTAACTGCTGCTTCCTACGATGCGAAATCGTTGAATCGTGTACATGTGGTAGCAAATGGAGGTAGTACCAGGACTAGATGAGACTCCAGAGGAGTTAGGCTGACCAGAGGGGTAAGCAAAGAGTTAACCATCCATTGCTAACGTAGAGAAGAGAGCACCATACTCTACCCTCATTTGGGATAGGTATCAATCAAGCTTGCTTATGAATGAGCAACCTGAACGGTGGACAGTCCCAGTGAAACACCACAACACCCATTTTCACTCTTACAGACTAGGGTTATTGTATATGTGTCTGGCTAAGATGAATAGCACCCCTTCACTCTGTAGAGGAATGGAACAGAAACTCCACATGTAGTGCCTCACAAGTATACAAGCAATCCAGACATGCAATATAATGTCCCCAGCAATTTACAAATTCCCCAACCTGAGCCTGACTCTCCTCCCTGTAGGGTCAGTCCCATCTGCATTCGAATCCTCCGCCCACATGGAATCCGCGGGCCTCCTTGTACCAGCGAGGATTTCACTGTTGTTCCCCACGCCTGCTACAGCTTGTAGCAGCTCCGCCTGAAGGGACGGGCAGCTGATTCGTAGATGCTCAAAACCTTCTGAATGGATCACACCTGTATAGCGACAGAGAGGGAGGAGACAGGGAAGAGGGTGATGAGTGCTAGAGTAACCAAGAGGAGGGACAATGAAAGGTTGGAGGAGGAGTGGGTAAGGGGAAGTGGGGAAGGGGAGGAGAGGGGTGGAAAAGGGGGGAGGGTGGGGAGAGGGGAGGGGGGAGACAGGTGGCGCGGAGGGCATAAAAATACAAGATAGAGCAACTGTAGAATTCGCCTAGAATATTGCAATCCATACTCGCGAGGTTCTGCGCCGCGAATTGAAGGCACACGTTCTTGAGCCGCTTCGCGTTGTGCTGCTCTGCCAGAGCCAGCGTCGTCGCGACCGTATCCGCATCCACCGTCTCGCACAGCTTCGACTCGCAGATTAATCGCAGCCGGTCTAAGGCGTAGCGGTCCGCAGCCGCGAGCAAGTGCTGCGCCATGATTGGCGTGAAAGCGGACGGTCCCGAGCTTGGGAGGTCGTCGGTGTAGATGAAATGGAGGAGAGCTTTAAACACCGGAGCCTCGATGTCTGTAACGGGGATGTTACCCTCCCGCCTGTCCCGCATGGGTCCGTACAGTAACGCCTTCAAGACTGGCGAACGCGCGGCGAGGATGACTCTATGAGCGGACACCGTTTCATCTCCGACGTCGAACGTTACATCGCATCCCTCGCCCGAGTACAGAAGCACCTCGTAATCCTTCCCCATCTGCGACGGCGGAATTGGTATCGACACCGGCTGCTTCGGACCCTCCGTTTCAGTCACAACGACGCCGACCGTGCACGTAATCTGCAGCGTGTCGTCTTTAAGATAATCCGACGTCTCTAACGTCGCTCGCCGGAAGAACCGCTTGTAACCCCACATGGATCCTCGGTACTTGAGAGTGTACGGTCCAGATTCAAGCGCGCGGTCGAAGTGCGAATGTACTTTATGGCGACCCCGTCCGCTTTGATCCAGCATCGTCAGCTCGAACAACGCACGGACGTCCGTCCCCTCGCTCGCAAGCGCGATGAAGAGCGAAACGTACTGCGAGTTATCCTCCGCGTTCTTCCCGTCCGGGTAAAAGTAAATAGCCCATTTGAAGCCTCCAACGGTAAACGTGTCGCTGGACATGTATTTGCCGACTCCCATGCCCTTGGCGAGGGAATAGCCGGTGATGTTGAACTGGTGGCTGCCATTGACCGTCTTGGTGATGCTCCTGGACTTGGTAGGACTGCCTGGCGGATCTTTCGCCGGCATCCTTATTATCGTGGAGAGATAATTCAGCGAAGAGGTGTAAGAAAGATACGAGAGACGCTACGACAGCACTTTACAAGACGAGACGCGGCCAAATATGAAGCTAAGAGGCAGCAAATATTTTCTAAGGATTTGAAGAAAAAGAAAACGTAAAGAAACCGTCCACCCGCAGCAAATCTCACAACCCTATCGAGCCTGCAAAGAACAAGACAAAGCCGTAGGTAACAAAGCTAGCCAAGACCTGAGACGGCGACTGAAGTGATGGAAGTACTGAAATATCTAAGGTGGAAAGAAAGCTAAGCCTGCAAGCTTCAAGTGAGGGTTGCAAGAAAGGAACGAGTGGACGGACAGAAATAAGGAAGCGTATGGAGGTGCTTCGAGAGATAAGGAGGCCCGTGAAACCCTAGGCACGGAGGGACGCAGCACAATCGCATTCTTGGTAAGAAACAGCAAAGAGAAGAACAATGCGGGGTCCTGTACGGTGCAAAACGGTTTTTGTTAGGTGGTGTGAGGTGCATTGGAGTACGCGTTTGTCTGTCCACAGCTGACACATGCACGGTTTGGGATGGATGTGTGAAGGCGATGGATGTTGCGGCGATGGGATTTGAGTGGCTGTGCGAGCGAGCCACCGCACCAGAGAGGCCTGGCACGGACGCAGACTGACAGGCTGAGATCGGGAGGTGGATGGGCTGGATGGAATGGATGAACGCGGAATTATGTACGAGCGAAGAACGCGGCAACATCTGTGGACAAACTTTGCTATAACTGGTATGATTGAACATAAGCGGTGTAGATACTACAAGTATATTAGCATTGCGTTGTATTGCATATTTCTATTTCAAGACACACAGTTCCAGCCAGGGTCCACGATATCAGGGTAAAACATCCTGATTACCCTGATTTCAGGATGTTATTATGCATTTGCCATGTAATTTCAGGATGGTGTTGATTTTTATTTACCCTGTTACTTCAGGATAATCTCGAATGTTTTGCCTGAAATTTCAGGATGGCCGCGATATTATGCCCTGAAGCGTCAGGATCAAAGCGAGGAACGCCCTGACGCGAATAAAGGAGGGGGGAAGGGGGTGGAGGGGAGAAGGGAGGGCCTGTGTTCGTTTCCCCCAGAATCTGGTCCTGCCTTGGCACGAACGATCTTTTGCCACGTTGAACATTTATTTGTCGCATGAACCTTGAGTTGCGATGTTCTCTCGTTGGCACGCCGCAAGCCTACTCAGGGTCTTGCGATTTTTTTGCCCTGAGATGTCAGTAAAAGGCCTACAGGTACCCTGAAACTTCAGGATGCCCATATAGTTTTGCCCTGAAAAATCAGGGCATTTTTTAACATTTTCAAGACTTGCCCTGAGGCCTCAGGATGCCCTAAATCCTAGCACAGGCCCTGGTTCCAGCAATGTGTACAAAACAGTTCCCAGCTCAAACATCTCGTGCCAAGCTTGACTATAATGGCATAGGCAGTACTGGAACCTCACCAGCAGTAGCACAACTCATAAGCTAACCCCACCACCTAGTTCACAAGCTCCTATCCATCAATTACCAGCTCCACCGGTACAGGTTCTGTATCCCATCCACCATCCTGCACAGGTTCCCTCTCATCCACACAAACACTCACTGCAGTAGTAGGCTCAACATAACCAACTGGCACTTCTTGTCCACTCCCCAATTCTTCAACAAGAGAAGTGCTCGGATGATCCTCCAAACCTGTATTTCTCAAGCCTGTACTTTCCAGACCTGTATTTCCAGGACCAGTATTTTCCGAAGCTGTATTTTCGGATGCTGAATCATCTGCGCCTGCATTTTCCAGACATGTATTTTCCAGGCCTGCGCTACCCACTGCTCGCCTTGACTTGCGCTTACGACCGACGTTTGCAGATGGCTGCTCACTTGGATCCTCTGCACAAGGCAACAGAAACGAAACGAGGGATCCACCCAGATGAGACTGTTCCCCGTGCAAGGTAAAACAAATCGGTGAACAGCCGAAAATGCTGCTGCCATGCACCATGAAGAGCAAACAGCATAAAACACACTCACCTCTAGCTGCCAGCTCCTCATAATTACATCCACGCCGAGGGCCCCCCCAGCCGAACTTAGAAGAAGATTCAGTCTTGGACTTGGAGAAATCCAGGCCGTGTACAGCTGCTGGATCAACGGCCATGATCTCAAGTACATTCGGAAGCCGGAAAGTCACAGGCTGGTAACTGTCAGACTCGTCGTCCTCTTGGCTTGCTCCAGTTTTCTTCCTCTTGCTTGGCCTTCCTCTCCTAGGTGCAGCCTTCTGCTGCAGGCCTGACGCGACATTGTAGTACGGGTTGCTGTTGCTGTTACCTGAGACTTGGCCTTGCGATAAATTAAAGTACGGATTGCTGCTGCTGATGCTACCTGGTACTTGGCCTGGCACGAAGTTAAAGTACGGATTGCTGCTGTTGCTGATGCCTGGTAATTGGTTTGGGAAAGAGTGGAGTTGACCTGGGTGAAATGGGGTTGACTGGCCTGCTGGTGGGTGGGCCTGGGTTGAGGGGGTGCTGACGCGTCTAGCCTTTCTGACGAGCTGGGCAAGATTCTCGCGAGCGTTGGAAATTGCCACGTCAGCGTTGTCTCCTGATGTCCGTGGGGGTGGACAGGCAGGGGGTGCGGGGTAAGGGAAATGCTAAAAGTCTCTAAGCACGGATACGTTTATGCAGGCAGCGAGGGAACGATGTGAGGTTGTGTTTATCCCTAGAGGGAACAGTGGTGTCAATAACAAGCTGATGAGGCGACAGTAGTAGCGAGGTGACAATAACGAGGTAAATGGAGTACCTACCACCAGCAACAGCGGCGCCAGCAAAGAGTCTATCTACCAAGTGGAGAGCGGCTTCGATGAGGAGGAGGAAGGGGTCGGAGGAGGAAGGGGTCGGAGGAGGAAGGGGTTGGAGTAGGTGGGTAGCGATCCTCCCGTCATGAAAGATACTACAGACGATAACGCCGAGACGACAATGGAGAGGGGACAATAACGAGGTGAAGGTTGTGCCTACCAGCGACAGCGGCGCCAACGAAGAGCCTCTCGACGAGGTGCGGAGCGGCTTCAATGAAAAGGAGGAAGAGGTCGGAGTAAGTGGGTAGCGATCCTTTCGGCATGTACGCCGCGAGTCCGCATCGCAGCACGTGCAGCG